ATAATCCATATAAACCCCCTCTATACTGGATTCCCATATTCCTTACTAAAAAACCAGTAAGCTAAGCAGATGCCACGCTTGCCGCCGATGTTTGCTGAGGCTACAACTTTGGACTTGGTGTCGAAGCGCTGCGGACACGGAATTGGGGCCATTTGGCAACACGGGAGTTTCCCAAAATTAGGGGTACCTTATTGGGGTTTAGGGTTTAGGGTAGGACTATAGTATATTTGGGTCTATAATGGGGTCCCGTAATTTTGGGAAGCTACCACACAACTCGCAGACCTCGTGAGCAGCTATACATACATATGAGCTGTAGTCTGAACTCCTCAAGGGAGGTTGTATAAGGGACTATTGTGGGGGATAGTAAGGGGGATATTAGGAATTTAGACTATAGATCATATATATATATATACATAGAGATGTACATATTAGCATGTCCCAGTAAAAAGCCCCTAGTGACGGGTTCATAGCCAGTTCCCAACTCCATGGTCAGACCAGGGTCCCTGCAAGTAGATCCTAATCATCCCTAATCCCAATCCCCCAAATGTCTGGGTTGCTGTTAAGGAACTTAAATTAAGTTACCATAATGGGTATATATAGTAAATCATAGGGTTTCCCCAATATAGTAACTTAATTTAAGTTCCTTAACAGCAACCCAGATGTTTGAAGGAACGTCTCCAAGGATGGGCATAAACTAGGAAGCCCAGTGGTACCCTTCTACCCTTTTTCGGGGTTCTGGGTTTCTGAATACAAGTACCGAGCACAAAGAAGGTTGCCCTTATTGTAATGTGTGCAGGGGTACCAAGAAGAGATGAGCAGCTCCTGTTTCAGGTGACTTGCAGTGGATTTGCGACGAGCTGTTCAACTCGTTCTCGGCGCGCCGGTTGCAAATCCTGCCCCACCAGTAAGACAGTAAGATACGTTGAGTCTCTTCTTGAGCCTTCGACGCGGGCTGCCTGTTTAAGGGCCGTACATCAGGCAGGGGGATGGCTTTTGCATGGTCATGAATAGTTTCTAGATTGCTCTTGTTGCTACATTGGCCCCTGAAAAGACACGTCAACTCCTTAAATCCAAACCCCAAGCCCTCAAACTCGAAGCCTGCACAGCCTCAAGTCCGCAGTCCCACGCTCAAAAAACGTGTTGGGGTGACATGTAAAGGGAGAGTTTTGGCACGTGGGACTACGTGCCATGTTCCAGAAATGCACAACATGCTTCACAAAACCACGCGGCTATCAACTGACGCGCAGAGCCCTAAGGGCCCCATGTTGAGAGATCGCACAATTTACTAGTAAGAATAGTGATAATAGTATTTGTAATTAGTCATAACTGTAATACGGGTAAAAACAGTAAAAGCAGCAATAATAGTTACTTAGTTCGCCACCGGCTATTCGAAACAGTAGCCTACGTGGCATTTCGAGGACGAGAACTTTAGGATTTTTCGGGATACCAGCGTGTCCTACATGCAAAAGCCTTGACGGTTTATGGGGATTTCTGTTGAAGTTTAGGATCGGCAACCGACCCAGTTTGCCAAAGCCTGTTTGGAAATGGTAGCCAGTGTGGGATTTAGAGGGCTCGATGTTTAAGATTTCCGGCTCACATGGAGGGTTTTACATAACATTTTGTCCTGGTCTAGCATGAGATTTTATGTTGGTCTCTACGTCCAGCCGAAGAGGGCATGGATGTTCTGTTGTCCGTATGCTCTCGGAACACGAACGTTGTTACAGGGAAGGGAGACTGCGCAGCTCTCAGTCACGCGCCCCACGTGGCGGCGACGCCGTTAGGAACCCTTTGCGAACCCTAGCCCTTCACTGTGTACCGCGACGGCCGCAAACAACAGCATCACCTGGTGGCGAACTGTGGGGAGCTGTGGGTAATCATAGTAGCAACAGTCAGGTCATCGCACATCTCATGACCCGTGAGCTGGCGGGTAGCGTCTCGCTGAAGGACGAGCCTCCTTGGACCCTAGGCGCACGGGGTTTAGGGTTTAGGGTCTTGTCTGAACTTTTTAAGGAGGGGTATATAGGGCATTATATGGGGACTACTATAGATATTGTAGGGGTTATTAAGGGGGACACGAAGACTCTAGACTAAAGCTCATATGGGCTCTGGATGTTTCCCGACTTTTTGGAATCTGCTGCATGACTTGATCCAGGTTTTTATGCGGGCTTGTCTGGATGCATGAAGGGGCTTCTAAAGGATCTTGGTGAGTGTTAATGTGGGATGTCTCTGTTAGACATCATCATGAGTGTATTTGCGTTTTACTCTATGTAGCGGATTGTTGGGCCATGTGGAGACTGCTGGGTTTTGTACCAGTTAAGCAGGTAGCCGCAGACTATTTATTCTCAGAACCACAAGTCCTGATTGGAGGGTTGCGATCTTGTTATATCCCTACTTGTGATGGTCAATCTGTTCGATAAAGCTCAGCTTCGAGAACTGTAGCAGCTCGGCATACTTCAACAGTAAGATATGTTTGAGAACTGTTTTGAGAAGTCCAATGTAAAACAGCGAGCGCGCAGGTGCATTTGGTTGTGTTGCCATTAGTGCGATGTCCTTCTTGCCTGGAGTTTGTTGTGAGTTTGGGCGGTGCACCGGGAGCAGGCGGCTTCTTGCCAGGAATGTCTGACTTTGAGAGATACATGTGGGCGGCCTTTGCCCCAACAATCTTACTCCAAAACTGCCTTGCGAAAAGGCTCAAACTGTTCTTGCAGGGTTGTTTTGAAGTTGTGGGGTGCTGCTATCGCAGAATTTTGCTGATCTCTTGAGAGCTCATACAGGGACCCTGGCCGTAGTTTTCTACGTAGATATCAATCTTGTGATAGGCCTGGAGCTATTCTTCTGGGAGACAAAGCCAACAAACAAAATCCTATGAAATCATCCCTGCAATGCCAGAGAGCTTGGGCTGCTGTTAAGGAACTTGATGTATGTTATCATAATATGGGTATATAGTAAATAATTGGTTTCCTTATTACAGTAATTTGATTTAGGTTCCTTAACAGCGGCCAGTAAACTGCCAGTTTCAGCGGTTGATGAGCCCGTCGCATGGCAGCATCGATCAATCGGGGGGGAATAAGGGAATACAATCCTTATGTAGTCCCTCTATAATTTATTTCCTCATCCCCTACTGACCTCCAGTAAGTTTTGCAACGGTCGCAGGCTCTCTTCTCTACCAGGGTGTGGAGCACTTCGCCGGGAGTCGCATGTGTCTCACTGATATTCAGCCTAAGAAGCTTCTTTTAACTTGAAGAGTAATTCGGGGGTTTCCTTAAATTAGGGGTATCGTTTTGGGGGTCCCAATACTGTGTAATTACTCTAGTTTCCGCAGTATATTGTGGTCTACATTGGGGTCCCCATGTTGTAGAAACTGGACTGGCATATTAACAGAAATTAGGAATATAAATGGGATGAGTCATGGTAAGAGGAAGAATAGCAGTAAGAGTAATAGCAAGAGTAAGAGTACTAGTAATGGAACAAGCAATGTGAATGGTAGTACTGGTAGAGGATGGACTCTGTGGCCGGGATGCTTGTAAGCAGCGTCTGTGTGCGGCTTCTTGGTAGTTGCCTAGCCAGCTACCAGCCCATACCCACTGTTGCATGGCTGCTTCTAGCATGTTCTAGGCTGCCCGTAGCAATTTAGGTGTTCCCTAAGCTGCCAAAATTTCTGAGTTAGCTCTGACACTGCATTGTGGGTAAACCCAGGCGTCACTCCATCTATCCTTGTCATGGCTCCTGCACTGAACACACTGACTACGGTGTGGTGACGTTCCAGTGACTTGGCACAGAGATCTGAAGAGCGGCAACGAGTATCGACTGATAGTCTTTAAATGTAGCTGCAGTATTCTACTCCTATTCCAACTTCGTCCATAGGTAGCAGGTGGTCAGCCCTCAAATTGTACAAGATACAGCATCTGAGCCCTGGTCTTAACATCTGTCCAGCTAGACACTGTCCTCACAGTGTACATGCGGGGTGTAAAGACTTTCTGTGTTTGATAGCTCCTGTCTTCACCTAGTCTCAAAAGATGGTGGCTACTACTGACCAGGATGCTCCACGTGGTATTCTCTGCTGCTTGTGGGCCCGCTCCAATCCCTGTGTATCGACCTAGAGTCCCCCTTAAGTAAATAGAATATGGGGTATACGGGGATATTACTATAGCATAACCAAAGCCATACTCTATCTACTAAAGGGGGACTATAGAGTTTAGGAACCTAGTGGGTGGTCCCACCCTGCTGTTTTCAGTGTTGGATGCGTCTCACAGCAGTTGCCAAAGTTGACATCAAAGATCGCCAGGCAGAGTACGGCTGCCGGACTTCAGGCTCTGCCTCACTTTGCCCATCTCTTCTGACTCTTCAGGGGTTTGGGGGCTTCATTCTAGGGCGTATCCTCGAAGCAATTGCTCTTGTCTTTGTGCCCTGTCACGAGAAAGAGAGCCATCAGACCAAGACCTTCAAACCCAAGCAGCTAAAGCAGGCGTTCATAGCAGCTCAGTTCATGCTCTGAACGTAATAGAGCATGGACTGTTGGAAAGCTGCGCCGCGCCCCTGTCTCAATTTGCCGATCTGGTCTTGAAGGTGTTGATGCATAAGCAGCTTTACATGACGAGTCATCTGAGTGACGCCAGCGCGTGCCAGCGCCATTGCCAACTCCAGCTCCAGCGCCGCGTGGACGGCCACGACCGCCACCGCTGCCACCGTCACCAGTCAACCACTAGAGGAAGAAGAAGAGCAATAGCAATAGCAACGTCAACAACATTTTCAACAAGATGGACAGCGCTAGGCTGAAGAAAAGCAAGAAAAGCCGTGGTCGGTGCAGCTACTACAGCTACGGCTAGTACTTTAGGTCCAAGCAGCAGCAAAAGCAAGCATTGCGACTGTTGCCGAAGCTTCTCCCACTACTGTGGGTCCACCTTGCTGCTGCTTCTCCTGCTTCTCTTCTTCGTCGCTGTTGTCCTGGGAACGATGCTGCTAACCGAAGTAAGATTTCCTGGGACGGTTGCAACCTGCAGGCGCTGATGCCGGACGGGCGATGGCTCCCTCTGCAGCCGCCGCCTTCAGGCCTCAGAGATAACTTTGTTGCCGAAATCATGTGTAATGCGATCTCCGTCTATTCTCTCTTCCTTTATATCGCATGAAGCCCGACAAAAAATCTCATTGTTGAGACCTCAGACATCTGTCAAGATAAATGGATTAGGAGGCAGGAGGGGTATCAGGTAGAGCATATAAGGATTAACAAGACGTTGCGGGCATCATAAAAAAGGGTGGAGGGTTTTGGGTTGTTAGCTTCAAAAGTCTTGCTTGATGCTTGTTTCTATGAGCAGCATCTGGCGGAGGATCCTCTCGGGGCATCTGTACAGATAAGCGGAATAGACTTGGCGGGTGCCCCAACAATGGGGTCCTTTTCTGTTGTTTCTTATGCTGTGGATGCTTTTTTTTTTCATGGTCCGCGTGGGGTCTAGCGTGAAAACACTCATGATCTCAGGGCCATGGAGAGTTCGAAGTTACCGCAGCCTGAGTAGCTGTTTCGATCGGGACAAGCGATCCCAATAGATTTGTCTGAGTCGCGATAACGCTTGTTTCTACTCTAGCCCTCTGGAATGTGACAGAATCCTCATGTTTCAGCATTCCCATGAAGCCCGTGTGCCACGCCTACAAGCCGCAAAAGGGACCTCATGAGCTGAGCCGCCACCACAACCAAAATTCTTGTACAATCTCTGGAAGATCTTGTCTCTACAGAACATCTTTTTCTTCCTCTCCTATCATCGCCACTGTACCTTCAACTTTCATGACTACCTCAGCGCATATGATAAATGCAAGGTAATTGTATACACTAAACCCAGGGCCCTGCACCCAAAACCTCCCGACCCTAGGACCTTAAACCCCTCCGAATCCACAAGCCCTGAGCCCCTGAGGCCCCCTAAGCCCTAAACTCTCACCGTGTAGGGGGTCTCCTCTTTGCGGGTGACATGCTGGAACGGATGACAAACGGGCAGGCCAAGACGTTGTCCGCTGAAAGCTTTAAGAAATCTAAACTGATGTAGGGCACTAGAGGGTTTTCAGGGTGAAGGCTTCGGAGTTGTTATATAGGATGATTATCCAAATAACGGAAATTAAGTTGAACATCAAATGGACAATGCAATGGAACTTCGGGCTTATAGGGATATATATATATATAAATATAGAATCCTAACGGAAACTGATGTGTCTTGGGACAGCATGAGATTATTATCCCACGAAGGGAAATCGCAAATGAACAATCGAATGGAAGATGATATCTAGACCGGTGGTTTTCTGGGTATATAGGATTGTTGTCTCAATAACGGAAAATCACATGAAAAACCACATCAAACATGGAACGGATTCTTGGATTCTGGGAGATACTGGGTTTGGGGTTTGGGGTTAAGTTGTTGGTTATACATAGCGAATGAAGGAACGGGAAGGAGAACGGACACTTTAAGAGCCTCCGGCTCAGTCCGCCGAGAAGTCGCGAACGCAACGACGGCGTTAACCCTAAACCCTAAACCTAGAAACACTGAAGCCTAAACCTGGATGTTTTCAGCGGCTGGCACGACACCAATCGGCACAACGAGGTCAGTTCAAGCTAGGCTGCCAGGACTCCGGAGCCTTACTTTTTTCAGTGGCTGCGCACGAAACCAATCGGCGCAACCGGGACTCTGCAGGACCAACACTGCATGCAACAGGCCTTGATGAGAGGTGTGGGAGGTGTGGCTGTGTTTTTGCTGGGGGCCCCCGCATCCTAGGCAGCTGACTTTGCCGACTTTCACCCATTCGCCGGGCTCCCCCAAGAGATTTTTCAAAATCACCCTCTCCGTCTCATGAACCAGAGGTCGGCGGATAGGGGACACTGCATGTAGGATTTGTTCTTCCGTTCCCTACTAGCAGGCAGTAAGTAAAGTGAAGGTTTGCAGTTTAGGACGAGATTTCCAAGAGTCCGGTTAAGCATACATGTGTTCAGGATAATTGGGGCCTTTCCACGCGTGAGGTTGGGCCGTACAGTTGTCCCAGTTTCGCAGGATCATCGTACAACTGTCCCGAATTCGCAGGATCATCAGGAGCGAAGGATAGCAGCGCAATCTCCAAAGTAAGATCCACATAACCTCCAAGTCCAAAAATAGTTCGACGAGGCAATCTCCTACATAATTGAGAGCAGCGTAGTACTTCCAGCACGGGCTTAACAATCTGAATTACTTGGGGCGGACAAGATGGGTCGCAGTGTTCAAGAAGCCAAAAGCCTTAGGTTGGAGTGTTTGGGTCTTGGCAGCCAGCGAGGCGAACATGCTTTCCCATCCTTTGGATATCGGTAATATGGCCTCTGCCTGCCTACGGGCAACAGAGCCCACCTTAAACCCAGAATCCCAGCTTTCACTTTGCAGGTGAGGGCCCTGGTGCACCGTGTTTGTTTAGATCTCGGCCACGAGAGCTCCGTGCCGTCTGTGGTGCGGCAGTCGCACATCCTGTTCATACAGCCGGACAGCAGTTTGGCTTAAAGTTTTCGATTTTGAGATTTTGTGGTAGAGGGGTATGTTCTGTTCTCCGAATCAAGGTTTCCTGGTTTATATATAATCTCACCCATAGGGGCCTGACACAAAAAGTTGCACAGTTTTCAGAAGTTCCAGAATGGGGGTGCAAGAGTTGTGTATATAAACCGCTATATGCCACATTTTCGGTGAACTCAAATCTTCATTATAACCTTATGGATCCCTGTACGCGCTGTATAGGACATCCACTCCAGGGCCTTGTGGATAAGGGAACTCTGGACGCTGGCCTACATGCGCCCGGTGAGGTCGGAGTTTAGGTCTCTGCGTTGGAGCCCAGTGGGGGAGCTTCAGTACAAAAAGAGACCATTCACGTCTTTAATCGACCGGCACCCATTTTGGCAGGTAACCTCTTCGACGAGAAATCCATGACCCATGTTTGAACTTGATGTCTGAAGTAGAATGATATGTACTTGACTCCTTCATCTGAAAGTGCAGTGACGCGGGCGCAGAAGCACATTTAGTTTTTGCTCCGGCACGTTTCTAGCAAAGCTAGTCACGGTTAGTCAGTAGCAAAAGGAGTTCGGCGGGCGGGAAGCACCAGTAGCCGGATGTCTAAAGCTGTGCGCCCTTGTCGGGGTCAGCCTAATTGGGTTGCATAGAAGCATGCATGACTAAGAGCTCTCCCACACAAGGGTTGGGTGGGTCCCGTTCCAGGCTTGGTCACGCTTCTGTATCCACATTTTTTTTGCCCCGCAGGTTTTCGCCCCATTTTCCGGGCGACGCATTTTCATCCGTTGAGTACAATGTAGGAGCAAGAATGGATTGGCTCCAATCCCTCACATGCTCTCTCCTTACAAGATATCCCAGTAAGTGAGCAATATCGCAGGGCCCTGTTCGGAACATTTAGGCCCCTGCAGTAGATCACCCCGCTCCCAGTGTTGCCGGGCGCTCATCTGCACTGAGGGAACACAGTGGTGCGGCCCCTTCGGCCTTTCTGCACTGGCAATGACTTGCCTCCCGTGCGCTATGGAGACTGGCACAAGAGCAAGACCAGCTTCTCGGCAACGCTTGGACTGGGCTCCTGCCGATTGCAGGACTAGAGTAACAGGCATGTCCGAAAACAGAAACATTGCACTTTACAAGACATTCACACGGGTGGCTTCTCAGGATGTAGGGTTTAAAAGGGGAGGCGCCGGGGTTCAAGGTTCAGCAGAGACTTGAGTTTATAGGGCGTTGTGGGCAGGGCAGGGTTCAGAGCAAGGAAAGCTATGGCCGCTTCGTTGCAGGTCTCCGCATTCAGGATGCTTTTCTCTTGGTGGTGTCTACAATTTTGGAATGATGACAGGATATTCGAGGGTGAGACGGTTTAAAACTAATACTTCAAGAAACCGTGCTTCAGGGCCTCGAGTTCAAGAAATGTGTAATTTTGGCTATTTACCAGGGCCCTTTTCATTTGGATCTGTAAATTCTCAGGCACAAGGATTATGAGCTAACTTTGATCCCGTTGTCTTTGCTTGCGTGTCTGCTAAGGACTTCATCTTGAATCACAAGACATAAGATCCCCGTTGAGTAATACGGTTTCCTGATGCTTGCAATGTATTTGTCCTTCCCGATGATCCAGTTTTCCTGAGAGGTCTGGCGTTTGCTCGATGAGCCGTTGAAGTGGAGGCGCCTGGTCACAGGGCGATGTTTCAGGGCCTTTTGCAAGGAAGCCCTGCAAGAATTGAGCCTTTGAGGGGTGCTTGGTGACTTAGACATACAGAAGCTTTGTATCAGATCCCCCTTAGAAGCCAAGTAAATTCATCAGATTTTAAGCAGTTCTGCTGGGGAAGGATCAAGCCGGTCGACGGCTTTGCTGGTAAGCAGAAGCGAAGATGATGAGTTCCCATGTTGCCTTCTGTGCCTGAAACGGTCCTGCAGCTTTAGAACAAGAGCCCGACACCGTTCAATTCCAGCACATTGTCTGCAGAGTCTCTTCGCTGCGGCCTGAAGGAATCGACAGGCTTTCGGAAGCCAGAAACTTATTCAGCACACGTTCTCACCAGGGTGCTGCATTCCCTGTTAGCCCCTATGAGAAAATCAATGTCTCTGTGCCAACAATCATGCCTTGCTTGGAACGTGGGTCCCTTTGGCAATTTCGTATCAGGGGTGCCTGTTGTTCATCTAACTTACATTGCATCAGGAGGAATCTTGCCTAGATCTGCTGCTATGTTGCAGTACCAGCTTTAGAAATGGTGGGATTGATGACTGCCGCCGCCACCGCCGCCGCCACCGCCGCCGCCGCCACCGCCACCGACCGCCACCGACCGC